TATCTGTACCATTAGGTATATAGCAATAATGTTCCGTAACATTATTGCTATATAATGTTGTATATGCTACATAATTAACTGTTGCGAAAAGAATTATCAAAACGCTTTTAGCTTATTGTGAAAAATACACAAAAACAACATTGAATAGAAAACCTTCTCTTTTAAGTAGGTCCTTGGAAACTCAATATGTAGATATTTTTTAGTTTAATTTATAATGTAATTGAAAATTCAATACACTACTGCAGTTATTTAGTTGTATACAACATGATATTATTATTTTTATACTAAAATAGTTCATCATGTAAACGAAGATCGTTTCGATTAACATCTCCTTATTTACCGGTAAATAAAGTTTTAGGGTCACATAGTCCTTGGTTATGATTTATTATTGAAGTAAATATACACGACTAATGTAATGCAGAAGATAGTAATATCAATATATATAAATGAATTCTTATTTTTCTTGGTCACGGCAAGTAAAAGTATAATTACACTATTGCGAATTCAATACAATACAATAGTTAAGACAACGTCTGTAGGGTAAATGAAAAAGGAAATACAATATGAGATTCCAATTAAAATCCTATTGCAATGATCTTCAATATTGTTTGCTCATTGAAGTAACAGTAGGTTCCTCTACGCAATACTAAAAATACTTATTGATGTAATGACAATCTTATATCTGTATTTAGTTAGAAATACAATAAATGAGTGTCGGTAAAATGGACTTCAATTATATATCTTTCTTTTTTTCTAAAACGTTCTCTATTAGTTGTTTCTAGTGACTTGGTCTACAAACTCCATTATTTAATATCAAATCTATAGTTTTCGTGAAATTCTTTTAATCCATGACTAATGTTTGGAAACCATGCTGAAAGATTTTATATTTTAACTTAATGCCTATTCATAACGAAAGTCAATGTCAGTTTGATCAAAATAATGACCTAACAATGAATTTTAAAGGTGTATCTAATATTACTTTTATTCCGGGTTATTGTATTCGTAATATCCCCGGTTATGATATGTATATTGTAATAACATTGTATAATAGTAAATAAATATTAGTAATTATATATTCAATACAAAAACATAATATATACCTACATGTACTTTAAGTTAAATATTTGAGCCATAATGTTCTATTGACACTTTGATTGACAATAAATCTCAGATAATTATATCTCAGATATCTCAGATAATCTCAAATAAATTGTCAATTCTGTACATGAAATATATTTCCAAAATAACTATTTAGGGGATGATGAGTGATCGATACTGATGCTAAAAATGCAATCAGTAAAATTTTTGTTTGTCTGTCTGTCTGTCTGTATGTTCGTTAAAGAAACAAAAACTACTCGACGGCTTTCGCGAACTTGGTACAATTATTCTTCATTCTTCTGGGCAGGTTATAGTATACTTTTCATCACGCTACGATCAATAGGAGCAGAGCAGTGATGGGAAATGTTAGGAAATATCATCAAAACCACTGAAACGTGAGGAGGCTACTTGTTTTACGAAAAGCGACGGAAACGCAGACGACATCGCGGGCAACAGCTAGTCAAATATAAAATAATAGCAAATGTTTCAACAACATATTATACAAGCTTTTTCCGCAACTGTTTCATAGATAAAATATAGTAGCATGTACATCCTCGTGATACACTATACATTCATGCTAAATATCATTAACATCAGTGCAGCCGTTTAGTCATCAAAAGGTATGAAACAAACATGTATGGATTATCATCCATTATATACACATCCATAATATGTCTACAAAGTCGTATATCGACTTCACATATTACTCCAATTATAGAGTAGGTATCTACTAGTATTAATATGTTACAAAATTGAGATATATATCCTTAAAGGAGCAATAGCAAATCGGAAGATTGATTTTAACACCTACTCGTTTGTTTATTATAGTGTTTTACGTAATTATGTCCTCAACCTGACGTCGGCGAGGTCAGGGTAACATCTTGTCATACATTGTCCAAGTAGAGAATTGTTAAATTAGATGTACATATATGGGACCAATTGCTTTTGTATTAATAGTAAAGTACAATATACAACTGGATATATTTAATAAAAATATTTTCTTAAATCTTTGTGCATTAGTAGCAGTAAAGCAGATACAATTATAAAATAGATTGAAATAAATAGAATAATAAAAATATTTTATTTTTCTGATATTTGATAGTCTCATAAATATGGTTAAACTGAATGAAATTCGCCAAATTAATGTACTTAGTAGTTAGAATATAAAAATGCAAATAAGTTTATTATATTACAAAAAATAATTGAGAACATTTTAAAGTCGGTTGAAAATTCGAAAACTACTAAATCATACTTAATTTTGGCATTCAGTAATTCGTTCTACTGGTTCCACTATGCTATACCAAACATGACTATCAGGTGGGAAAAAACAGGTTGAGCAGCCACCTGATTATCAATTGAATAATATTGAATGATAGCAATATTAATGGCATCTCTTGAATATGTTGTTGGACCTAGAGTATAAAAAAGCTGGCAATGATTTAATAGCAAACGTGTAACAATTATTTAAAGAATTGATCTTTCTGATTTTGATGTCTTAATGTTACTTTAAATTATTATAATTTTCTTAATGTTCAAAGTAAGTTAAATGCAAAGTTTTTGTATTGTCTGGATAATCAATTCTATTATTTCTAATTCTAATTCTATTCAATATATTTGACTTTCTTAAGAGTTTTACTGTAGAAGTTTAATCCGCAGTGTAAATAGCATATAGTGAAATACAAAAGTAAAATATGTATATATATAATTAGTAAAGGCTTACAACATGTCAACAGCGAAAATTTACGAACAATAGACACTGTTTCTAAATATAAAATTATATTGCAATGACTTCTATTTGGTCTGATATAAATTTACTAACCAATTCTATGTACGAAGATATTTACTGTATGTAAAGATAATTTCTACCTATGAAAGAAAGGAAGCATGCGACTGAAGTTTAATACAGGCGTTCCTTAGGTAAAATTGGTGAATGTAGCATGCATTAGTTTCCACGGAACGGGAGACAATGTTCTATGGGGGCAAGTGGCAGCAAACACTTAGTATTTTATAAATTTTTACTGAGAGATGAAATTTCTGTTATTTACATTTCCTTTATTTTAAATTATTGTTGACTGCTTATTTGATTTGACGTAATTATTGATGTCAGATTTTTACAGGTTAACAGGTAAGAATTTATTTAAAAAAACAGTGGACATTTATAGAAATACTATGTATAATATATCTGTTATGCACATACATTATCAACAATAACATAAAATACGATTGTTCAGTTTAGATATTCATCTCCATGCATATAAATCTTACAGAGTAGTTAAAATACACTATAGGTATACTATATATGTTTACTACTATTATGTATCTTACTACTATTACATTTTAATCCATTTTCCATCCTCATCGAGTGTAAGTACATGATTTTTAAATATTATTTAAAAATGTACACACATGTGTAAGAAGCATGTAGCTTAATATATATAAATTTAAGACATAAGTTATAAACAGAAAATAAAAACTAGTTTAACCGGGCATGAGACATTATTTACACCAATCGAAACTCCATTAACGCAGGCCTATATCGTATTTTAATTTTTATGTTAAAAATCATGCTAAAAAATAATAAATCTTATTATAATAACATTAATATCACGAGAATAATTGTTTGCTATTGTCTGCACGCATAGTTAGGTATTTTTTTTTATATTTGAATGTAGAAAACTAAGTGGTTATCTCTTAATAAGAGAGTGAGCCTTCTGGGTTGGCACCTTTCAATTTCTACGCGTTTGGTAATGAATCTGTACTGAAATAACGTAGTTAGGTATAACAACGAATTAGGTAGAAGAAAAGAAACGAAAGAAGAAATTAAAGGAAAACAAGCCGACCAAATAGACGCCTAATTTTCTATACATATAATGTATTGAAGTATATTAAATTATAGTTTTAGTGGTCGAAGTGGTACGCCCTAAAAATGACAAATAGTCCATCAAGTCATTACGTAACCATCTTGCACACCTGCGTTGTCATTACACGTAACTATATAGTTTTATATAAAAGAAAAAAATTTCAATTCCATTACAGCTATTGTTGGGAACTTTTAATTAACTTTATAACCTTTATCTAGTCTGTGATGTATATGAGACTTTGACAATGAATCGGTTGACTACATAGGTACAAAATGTTGCCTGGTTTAGATTGTCTTTTTGGAATGTTTATATTACATACAATATATTTTATGAGAAGGAGGAGCATTAAGCAGACTGTATGGTATTATTAGCCTATATAAAATGAAATAAATATAGTATTGGGTTCAATCTCCGCACAATACATACTCTTGTATTTTTAAGTGTAACTATTTATAGCGGTCTGGAAGTTTTTCTATGTATATTATTATTTTGTATTAAAATATATATTTAAATATGTAATTTGGAGATACTTCCAATTGTAAAAGCGGCTTTTTTTAGAAAGAGATCTTTCTAACATTATAGAGTTCTATCATTCATAGATAGCATTGTGAGAAAAGTGAAAGTTTAAAAGAATAATATTAATGACAAACAAAACAGATATAAAAACCCACTTTATATACTATTATTTCATATACCTACGTGACATTTAATCATCACAGCATCTAAGTATGCCGTGAAGATGCCAATTGTTATATTGGCCTATTGACCGTTATTTCATTTATAAAACATGTTCTAAGTCGTAAAATGTAGATATAGTTATATAATTTATTAATCTGTAGATGTATTGACTTGTTTCGCTGCAATAAAATTGTATAGAACATGCGCAATAGGCGATAATAATAATATTATTCTTATATTTTGTTACTTAGTTACAGTCGTCATTTTAATGGTAATACGGTGTTAAAACTCATGTTTATATAATAAGAAGTTCTAAAATAAAATAAAAAATATATTAATATTATATTTATTTTAAATCAATTATAATATTATATTATAAATATAGTCAAATAACAACACTCTCTTACACTCACAGTTACAACACAAGAAGGCCATTCACGACAGCATAGCAAAATCGCAGTTCTCAATTTCACGTAATTGAGACCTTCCTAATATTGGCGAATTAAAGTAGAAAAATATCTTATTAAGTTCCTTGTAAAACCAAGGAATAACAAATTATCTACGAAGTTCCGGAAACCGCTATGCAGTTCCGAATAATCAGTCGAGTAACACAACTGTCACATTTACAAAATACTGCTATATCCACTATATTGTGCCAATATTTATGAATATAAGGTTCCAATTCGAACTTGTCCTTTTGGTTTGGTTAATAAATTTGTTGCTCTTTTGAAAATACTAATGAATGGTCTGAAAGTTGATGAGATAACAGGCTGGTAATAAGGATCTGGTTGCTGGTATTGATATTGGTATTGGTTGTTATATTGGTTATAGTACTGATTGTTATATTGATAATTATAAGCTTGAGTTTCTCCGGTGCTGCCGGGGATGACATTCGAGATGTAGCTGTTGGTATTTTCTACTTGGTAGTTTGAAGTAGTACTATATCCGGCCACTGTAACAAAATAAAATACAGAAATTATAGTTTCATATATGTAATATGTATAGTTCATTCTAATGTATAAATTAAGAGCTATCAAGTCACACAAAAAATAAATTACTGAACTAACCGTATTATTGATTGAATGATTTATTATTCAAAGAAACCTTGAATAAAGAAAATTTTACCGAAGATTCATATTAAAAAAACATATTAAAAGACTTTTAAATTTACGAATTAATTCAGAAATGATTTCGATATAAAAATGATTTGTAATAAAAAGTGATACTTACAGCAAAGACCTGAATATTTCAGCGAATCTGTAAGGCCATAGTTACTGCAGGACGGGTAACCCTTTTCGTAGGGACTGACACCAATAACGTTTCCACCTGGTCCATAGTTGCATACATACAACCGGGTGTAACCTTTTGAGTTGTCGTAGTAGAAAGTAAATCCACAGCCTACTTTAGATGTTTCGCCCCAAACCAACTGTAAAAAAATATATAATGTATTTATTTGTATGAGCTGTATATGAGTTTTTTTACAAAAAAAAATACTTCATTTTTAAAAAATAAAATAGATCACCATGCATGTTAACCTCAATTAAAATCAGTTTTGAGAAATATACTACACAAGAATAAAAATATGGTGTAATTGTACGGTTTTATAAAGATACATGGTTACCATACAAAATATAATATTTAAAGACGATGGAAAGTCGAAAGTCATATTTGATTTAACATTTTATTTGTAACTATTATGTATAGTGCAATAAATAGGTTTGTGTGTTACCTGTGAATAATGACCGGTGCCATGCCCTCCGCTGATTGGCTTGAATCCGAATAGGCGGACTTCATCAAACCAGGCATTGATTTGAGTCATGAAATCAGGTTGGGAATCTATGGGTTCACTAGGAGGGCGTGTGGTCCAAGTAGCAGCGAGGTTCTGGCCCACAGGAAAGCGACCAACATCACGTTGAGAAGCTTGATCGTGGGCGGGAGTGCACTGGTTAGCCCAACGTTGTGCTGTCGCTGCTAACTCTTCATCCCACGACTTAAAAATAAATAATTCTTTTAAGAACAGCCATACAAAATAAGTAAGACTACTACTAAAATATATAGACTAATGTATTGTAATGTAATGTAATGTATATAGACTAATCTGGACATATTAGGTTTATTAAATTAATTTTGTTGTAACAAATCTCACAGTTATTATCTTAAACTTTATATTAAAATCGACTTAATCTATACTATATTTATTAACAACAAAAATAATACATGATGTATGTATATTTTTGTGAATTTAGCAGTATGTCAAATTCAAAAGTAGGAAGTATAATCATTGATATTTTCAAATTATTTCATTCATTAGTCGTTATCATTATGTAAAAAAACCACTTAGAATTTGAATAATATGAAAATTTTCGGCACCAATGTTAAATATCAAACGATTTGCAACAAGATGATAAATCGTCACTTGTCAAAACAACTGGTCAATTAATCTTATAATTAAATTTTTAATACAGGAATTTATAAATATTTATGACGACGTTATTAATAATGTAGACTTTATAAATACACGTAATTAAGTATAGACAAATTAGAAGGAATAATTAATTAAACATACTTAATATTTTAGTAATCACAAAAGCAAGTAGTTGTGCAGTGATACTTGAATGAAACATTGTAATAGTTTAATATAACCTAAGTTCGTATTCGTATTTCGTATCTGTATGACTTTTTTGTTTCTAAACAGATTACAATTAAATAGACAAAAAATTCAGGTGAACATTACTGCAATATATTATTAGTGGTAGAATAAAAGAACATGACTACTCAAATGGGCTCATAGATATAAGTTATATAATTATTACATTTATTTGAGCTTATTTATGCCTATAAAAAACCTCTTTTAAATCCATGAAGCTCATGCAGTGCGCATGAACAAAGTAATAATAAAATATCAATAAATATATATAAAGTTGAAAAAGTTAAAGTATTATTTGACCGACGAATTGTCAGAAAATCCTACTATTTCACATTTTATTGCCTTAAATGAGAAAACACTTGGATTTAGATATTATCAAAAATGGCAGATTGATCAGATGATATCACGTACGACTTATGAAATTATGTAGTGAACATCGACACATTACTTTTTATCTGCAGTAAAAATTCAATACTCATTATAAGTTAAACAATAATAGTTTTTTTTATATCTTATGTGTACAGACTGCAATCAGTTACATTTCTGTTATATGTATGTATAGCTACCAAGATTGTAATGATAATCTATTAAAAGAAATATTCGTTTTACCATTTCCATCATGTTAGCAGCTGGTGGTTGACCGGAGATTTGTCCAAGAGCAACTGATTGCCTAAGACGATTATGTGCATCCACGATCGCTTGTTTCTCAAATGCCGACATTCCTCCAGATTCTACAAACAAAACATAACTGATGTGAGTACATATTGTTATTATATTTTACATTACCAGATATTGAAACGGAAATAAGTTGATGTTAGTTTTTCGTGACTTGCTTATATAATATTATTAATTGATGTTTAAATATTTGATTTCCAACTATCCACACATCGTCTGCCAATAGCAGGGGCAATGATTTCATAAGTTGACGGTTTGTCTATTTTATTAAATCGGTGTGTAATACAGGTAATAACATAGGTGTCTATGTCAACACAATTTTATACCCTCGACTCATACAGGTATGCAAATTCTGTCGTCTTTTGATAAACTTGTCTGCAGGATGTAGACTGGGCGGCGGCGGTACTTTATGTATCCGATATGAAAATAGATGGCGTTATGGTATAGAGACAGCATTATTATTTTATTGCTTTTTTATTCGCCTAGGACAATAGGATTTTTCATTTTGTTGATAGTCTTTCCTTTAATTATTTTTTTAGTAGCACTTAGAAAAAAAATATGTAAATATTTAATGTCCTTGAACAGAAACGAAAAAGGCTAAGGTTACGCATTTTAAAATTAACTACGAGAAATTATTAAATTTTAATTCACAGAAAATATTCCCGTATTAGAAATATTCTTCTATTTGAATATAAATCATTTCATAAAAATTAATTTTAATAACGGGGCGTTATTAATTAATTAAAATTAATTAATGCAATTACGGATAGTTAGTGTCACTTACTTATTATTTGTCTTCCAACGCCACACCCTTCTGTTGTTGCTAGAACTACAGCTCCCAAAACGAACAACACTAAGGACATCATCTTCATAAAGTCTTTGAACACAACACTTTGAAACTGAAAAATTACACGCGTAAGTTGAGATTCGTAACTAGTGAGTTTACTTATTTACGAAACTTCGAACTTAAGTTTTCCTGTGATCCGCAGCACTACGTGCAGCGCGCTCTCCAGGAATTAACAATCTGTGCGGCTCGCTAGTATCGCGTTCGCTTATGTACTCATCTCAGCGTTACCATGGAGACGGAGCGACGCCAACGGACGCCCGCTGTGTCTGCGGATCACACTCACGTCGCGTCCGTATACCACTACTGCCTACATAATTGGTATTATTTGACCGACGAATTGTCAGAAAATCCTACTATTTCACATTTTATTGCCTTAAATGAGAAAACACTTGGATTTAGATATTATCAAAAATGGCAGATTGATCAGATGGTATCACGTACGACTTATGAAATTATGTAGTGAACATCGACACATTACTTTTTATCTACAGTAAAAATTTAATACTCATTATGCTGCACGTAGGTAGATACCTATGTGGTGGTTGTCAATGAAATCCAGTTCTTGTGATGTGTGCGAAGTTTCGAACCGAGCTTGGAAATATGTTGACAGATATTGGTCGAAAAGGAAGTGGTCTTTAAGTAAAATTATAGGCAGCTCAAAAACAAGGAAAGAATAATATCACCAGTTTTTGTGTCAAAGGTAAAGGACGGTAAAATGGTTAAATAATCGAAGTATACATTTCCTAGTAAATTTTAATAATTTATATAGGTACGTTAACATTTAATGAATATTTATTTTAAATACTGGTTTGTATTTATTTACGTAATTTTCACCTATAACGGTAATGGCATACAACATTATCAAATAAAATTGTTTCTACTGTTTTGATGAAGCCAATGAGAAGTAATTGTGTATGCTTGACAATAAATATATAATATGGGAAATGAAACTGTGATCTTTGATTTAAATATTACTGTTAATTATTTAAGCCCAGTGGCATTAAGTGCAAGAATTTATAAATACAAGAATTGTCAATTTAATTTACTTCTATTATATATTTATGTTTTTTTTAACATATTTACTACCTATTTAATTACCGCTACTTAAGTAGCTGTAATTAAATACGTTGTTATTAACTTATGATCTTAAATTATTGAATTTTGGTAAATATGTACTTAACACTCCTTTTCATTGTCTATGTTAGATATTGCATTTCAGACATAATAAATTAACTTTTATATGGATGCCCATTTATGGAGTGCTATAGATACATAAATGTGTATCTATTGAAATGGTCAGAAAGTCGTTTGAGAACTAATATTGATCAAATGCTTGGTGACAACCAGTCTGTTGCCAACCGATCCGGTTTACCACCTGAGGTGAATTTTCGGTTGTGGTATATTATTATTTGCATATTAATGACTTTTATTTTATTGGTTTTTATTTTACGCGATGGGTTATAAGGTTGGAGTTTATTATTATTATAATTTCAAATACCCAGTAATGTGAATATCATCTCTTTCTATTTTGAGTAATTAAAATGTAGAGATCGTTCCAATACGTCTCTAAGATGTTTCTGTTCGAATTCCTATAAATGTTGATTTCATCGAAATTATAATATCACTGACATATTATAAAAAAAGTGCATTATGCAATAGTATATTATATTAATTTTATCAGATACATTATATTGTATTACACAATTGACCAAATTGAATAAACCAAAAATTAATGTTTTCAAAAAAAATTGTATGAATGTGTAATATATATAATTGTGTATTTTAGTTACTTCCATAGTATAATGTCGTATGGTATTATATTGTGGGGAAGAGCGGCTGATGTAGAATCAATTTTTATATTAATTCGTTCAATATATAATTTACCGTGTCGCGAATCTCTTAGAGAACGCTTTAAAGAAACAGGTATCCTTACTGTTCCCTGTCAATATATATATGAAAATATTATGTACGTAAGCAAAAACTTAAATTTATTTCCAAAAAATAGTTACTTACACGCTTTTAATACAAGGAATAAAAATAAATTAAATATGCCTAGTTATCGTCTCAAAAAAGTAAGTACATCTTTCATGGGACATTGTATACGTTTTTATAATAAATTGCCAGATAGTGTTTTAAATTTAAGTGAAGGCAAATTTAAGATACATGTAAAAAAAACACTTTGCTCTAAAGCTTATTATAAAATAAACGACTACTTAAATGACTACAATGTGTGGACTTAATTACAATTTTAACTTTTGTTATGAGGCATATAATTTTTCCCATTGACATGGATAATGTAATAACATTAAAGAAACTTATTATAAATGATTTTTTATAATTTGTAATGACATATTGTAAATTAAATAATGTAAATTTAATATTGTAATGGGTGAAAACTGTGATCGGTACAGCCTATGCTGTAAATAATATAATTGACGTAGTGGAGTAACCTGAAACAGTCATGCTCGCTATAAAGTTCAAACTTGTGGCGGCGTGGTGGGCCGGGTCGATGTGCTCCCTCAAATATGGTTGAGTGAACGGGTGCTACTTGTGGGGACTGGTCTGTTCAGGTTGTGAACACTGATTAAATTTTTTGTTCTTTGCGATAGCATATGCTGGTGGTCACTCTATTCTCCCAAATTTGAATTTTAAAAACTATATTTATTATAAACATGTTCCACTATTATTTGAAAAGGATACGAGCTGAGTTTCTTGTCAGTTCTTCTCATCTCGATATCATTCCGAACTGACGGTAGATTTGACATATCATAAGAGTCTGTAATAGACCTACATGAATAAAGATATTTTGAATTTGAATTTGTTAAAAAAACTCAGTGACAACTTTAAAATAAAAAAAAATAAGCTATTTTGTAAAAAGAGAACCAAACAAAAAACATTCAATTCATGGCCATATAAGATGTAAGATATTAATTTAAATGTGAATCTTTAGAAATTGTGTTTTATAAAATAAATATAGTCAGCCTACTATTTACTATGGTACCCTAAAAATTTGGTTTGATATTTCGATTTGCAACGATGAATTTTAATTATCACTAAGCCAGCCGCTTATTAAATCTTATACATACATATCTATGACCGCTACCAGTATAAGTTTGTAGAGACAGACCTTGACAAATTCAACAGACATCTAATAATACAGAGGCCATGTTAACACAAGATCAAGATCAAGACCAACAGACGACAATATCACTGTATTGTCCTCGCTATAGGAATTATGCTAATTGAGAGCATGATGAGAGAAAGAAATGTATATTGTACTTATACTTGTATAGTTTAGCACTCGTTCAAAAGATTGATTGAACTTTCACACGAGTAAGAGGGGTAGAAAGTAGTAACAAAAGAATAATCTAAAAATGGATACTCCTGTATTTCTGATTCAGTAGGAATTTTGAAAGTTTTGCCTACTGGATCACGATCTTACATGTTGCACCTCAGTACAACTAAAACAGTATTAAAAACATTTTTATTTTATGATCAAATATAAGTACATGGTTCAATATCATTCTGTTTTCATTATATAATAAGACGCAAAAAGTGACAAGTGGAAATTTGAAAATTACCTTTTTTCTTACTCGTATTATTTCTTTAGCTATGATCACAAACAAGATATTATTACACACAATTTTTTTGAGGTGCGATTACAAGTGCAGTTCATTTCACGTACGTGTAATGACTTATAGTTTTATAGATTTTGTAATATATTTTACTCTATTGCATAGATATAGTAAGTGGTCTTGATTTTAAATCTGGCCGACATCAAAACGGCGACGGAAACATCGATATAAAGTCATAAAACAATTCGCGAGAGGGCGGTAGCCTCGCTACTTTCCAGGTCCTACTATGGTGGCAAACAAGTATACGGCCCACCTTATGGTAAACGGTTACCGAAGGCTATAAATGCTTGAGTTACGTGCGCTTTGTCGACCGTTAAGAATCTTCATATTCCCTTCTTGAAAAACCTTGCTGTAGTCGCGCGCGCGCGAGAACTTCAGAGGTAGTTCATTCCACTATCTAAGTGTATGCTGGAGGAAGCTCTTCTGAAACCGCACTGATCGTGACCACGTAGGTTCTAGCGTCATGAATTCAAATATACCCATCGAAATGTGGGCATGTCAAGTCACTATAGTGTAGACACTTCATAATCTCCCTGGCTATCGCATCTGGGATAAAAGTCGTGATGCTATGAGAATTGATATTTCCTAAATCAAAAATATATCCATATGAATAATCGAGATTCATCTTTTTCTTAGTAATAACCCATAAAATTGTGATCCCATCTCGAATGTCGGAACCAGTTCGTTTGACCTTTAAATAAATGGCCTTATTATTATACGATTAAACAATCCCGAGACGACTTCGGAGGTCCACCATCTCGAGATTAAAATAAACACATAGAATAATAGTGTTTATTTTTATACCATTGTTTTATCATACATTATTTTATTAAAATATAAAATTTAATAAAATATTAGTTTTTGTTACAAAGCAATTTAAGGTTAGTAAGTATAGAATCACCATTGAAGTATTATATAAAATACCACATTTAATAACATTCTTTTATTGCTACAAAATTAGTACCAGATATATAAAAAAAATATATTAAATGGAAAAATGAATCAATACCGGTAAAGAATTAGTGAACATATCGTGTAACATGTACAGTAAATAGAGACAAAAATATTCTTATTTTTTAAGCCAATTCGAAATAGTAATAAAATAATAATATTAATATTAATCTGTATTAAAATATTTTTGTGCTTTTTCGTGTTTATACAATTTACGAGTTTTTAAAATCAACTAAAGTGACAATGTAATTTTTTGTATAACTAGTAAGTATTTAATTCTTATGGATGGTCATGACTGCGGAGGTTCAGTCATTTTATTGTGTATAGTACTGAAGCAATTGGTCGTGGCAGACAGACTGTCGGCGATTGAGATAATATACAATAAAATGAAAAATAGTTAAAAACGTATTCCCTCGGACACCAATATTCGAGTTTTGAGTAAACATAATATCTGTTTACACTGGGCTGAATTTAGACACAAAGGTACCTTTGTGTTCTTTTTCTTAAGCAACAAAGTTGTGAGTTTATTATATGTATCATATGACGCTAATTATAGCTTTATTTTACATTTTTCAATATAATATCACTATGTTAAAAATAATATAC